AATACATTTTTTCATACACAGTTGGTCATAAGTAAAATAGTATATTTCAGTCAGCCTCACCATCTCTACTACTCTCCTTTCCCACCTACCTCCATTCTCAAAATATTTAAATTTCATTGTTTCATTTTCATAGTTGCAGTCTATTTCCAGTGTGTTCATCTTTCCATCTTCCTTGTTAAAACAATCCCTCTAACTAATACCCACCATATGGTTTTTTCCTTTTGTTTCATTTACTTTATTATCTTTAAGTAGTTGTACAAAGGAGTTGTCATTTAACAGCATTTTATGAATACAATATAGCTTGATCAGTGTCACCTTTTTCAATATTCTCATCCCTTCCCATTCACACTTTCCCTCACTCACATTTAAGAATATACATTAAATACTAGGATGTAAAATAAAATCTCTCTCCTTTCCTCCATTTTAAATTTTTTTGGGGGGCGGGTCCGGTCGTGGGGCCTGAACTTGGCCTGGGCACTGTCCCTCAGCTCTTCAGTTCAAGGCTAGCACTCTACCACTTGAGCCACAGTGCCACTTCCGGCTTTTTTTCTTATGTGGTGCTGAGGAATTGAACCCAGGACCTCAAGCATGCAAGGCAAGTGCTCTACCACTGAGCCACCTTCCCAGCCCCATTTTTAAATTTTTTTGTGAGTCTAGGCAGACAGTACTTTACTCTGTTCTATGAAGATATTTTCATAAAAATTTGGAATAGAATTTATTTCAGCTATTCAGCATTGAGTTTCTCAGTAGTGAAATTAGGACATAGTAAGTGATTCTCAAAGTACCAGGCCAGTATTATCATCTCTTGGAAAATTCTTTGTATTGCAGATTTTCTAGTCCCACCATAGCCCTTCTAAGCCAAAAATTATACCAAGAGCCAAATGCTCCATACTTAAGAACTTTCAGTGGTTCTGATGTAAGCCCAAGTTTCAATACCGCTAAGCTACTTAGCCCATCAGAGCTTCAATATTAATTTTCCAAAAGCTGCTCATCACTACTAGAAATCTTACTTTTATTTAAGTTTCATAAGGGTCTCCAGGGAGATAAGTCAAAAAATCAACAAAATAAACACCAAAAAGCTGGTACTTGAAAGGGGTGGAGGTGGGGTCAAGGGGAAAATGATAGAGAAGATAGGGAGAATGCAGTGGGGGGGGGGGAACATCAATCAAGTTACATTGTATTCATGAACTGCTTTGTTAATGGCAATTCCTTTGTATCACTACTTAACGATAATAAAAATAAATAATAAAAATGTGAAAGGAGTAGGAAAAAAAAGGGATATAGAAAGAAAGTCACATTACTTGTTTTGTATGCTTCAAGCCCATAGGCTAGGCTTTATACATGTTGGCCAGGAAGGTAGAGTTGTTCCGAGGGAGAGAAAAGAGATTTTCCCTTCCTTACATTATCTCTCATTTTGTTAGCACAAGTCAAATACAAGAATGTGTATGTGTGCATGCATGCACACACGTGGGCACATGTGTGCTAGTACCAGAGATTCTCTTGCTCTTAGTTGTCTTTTGCATGTAGCTGGTACTGGTCACTTAAACCATGAATCTAGTACAATTGTTAGGATGGCTAATGGAAGATGAGTCTTTTCTGATTTTTCTGTTTGGGGTGGTTTTGAACCTGGATCTTCAAAGAAAAGTTTTCTGAGTAGCTACAATAATAAGTGTGAGCTTAAGATGTTTTAATGAGTTTTTGTTGTTGTTGTTGTTAGTCATGGGGTTTAAACTCGGCCTGGGTACTGGCCCTGGGCTTTTTCACTCAAGGCTAGTGCTCTACCACTTTGAGTCACAGTGCTACTTTTGTTTTTGGGGGGTTAATTGGAGATAAGAGTCTCCTAGACTTTCCTGCCTGGGCTGACTTTGAACCATGATCCTCAGATTTCAGCCTAATGAGTAGTTTGGATTACAGATGTGAGTCACCGGCACTTGGTGTTTATTGATTTTTTTTATTTTTATTTTTTCAATCGGACATGGGGCTTGAACTCTGGTCTTTGGCGCTGTCTGTGTGTTCTTCAGCTCAAGGCTAGCACTCTGTCACTTGAGCCACAGCGCCACTTCCCGTTTTCAGGTGGTTAATTGAGATAAAAGTCTCATGGGCTTTCCTGCCTGAGCTGGTTTTGAATTGCAACTCAGATCTCAGCCTCCTGAGTAGCTAGGATTACAGGCATGAGCCACTGGCATCCGGTGGCTATTGATGTTTTAATGAAAATGTTGTTGGCCTCTCTGTCCCATGTTAAACTTTCTTAGTTATATTTTGAAAATGTACTTGATATTGTCAAGCCATCTGTTGTAAAATATTACATTAACTTTGTAGTTCTTTTCAGTCAACATTTACCAATAAATATTTGCAGTCACATCCTTTCTAGTGTTCACACCAACATTATTCTTTTTTGCTTGCTTTGTTTTTGTGATGGTCCTGAGGCTTGAACTTAAGGCATGGGTGCTGGTCCTGAGCTTTCAATCTAGTGCTCTACCACTTCAGCCACAGCTCCACTTCTAGGTCTTTTAGGTAATTTAGTATAGGTAAAGGCTCATAGACTTTCCTGCTTGGGCTGGATTCAAATCATAGTCCTCAGTCTCAGCCTACTGAATAGCTAGGATTATAGGTGCGAGCCACCCGTGCCTGGCTTATCATACCAACTTTTTAATGAATATAAGTATTGGTAAAAAAAAAAAAACAAAACTGTAGTATGCTTTAATGGTTTTCTTCTATTATATTCTTAGTTCTTGTTGACTTTTAATAAAACAATTCTGTATTACTGAGACTCACACTCAGAGACCTCACCTATGCTAAGCAAACATACACATACTACTTCTGAGATATGCAGTAAGTTCCCATGCTGACTATTTTTGTGTGTGTGTGTGCTGGTCCTGGAGCTTTATCTCAGGGTTTAGGCTCTGTCCCTGAGCTTTTTTGCTAAAGGCTGGTGCTATACTACTTGAGCCATAGCTCCATGTCTAGCTTTTTAGTGATTAAGTGGAGATCAGAGTCGTATAGTCTTTCCTGCTCCAACTGGCCTTGAACTGTGATCCACAGCTTTCATTCTCTTGAGTAGCTAGGATTTCAGGTATGGGTCATCAGCACCTGGCAATCAAGACTGATTTTAACTGCTTCAGAGCATGCTTAGTTTGGTCATATGATCTTTATACTTTGTGAAACTTTTTACCTCTTAAATATTTTTGTGGACTAAATTTTGATTAGTAATTTCTTATTTTTTTGCATGAATTCACATTTTAGTAAGTTGTAGTAAGCATTAACTGATGTGGTAACATTGCTTACACACCTAATAAAGTTGATTATGCTATCACAAAGTAGATGATAAATGTTGCTATACTAAAGAAAATAATCATATTAAATATGAAAACTGGGTCAAATAGTAAAGTTCTGCAGTGTTTGAAAAAAATCTGTATTGTTCTAAAGACTATTAGGCAATAGTATGTGTTAATAGTATATATTAAGAATATTTAATACTTTGCTTTCCCATTTAGCTTAATCTTAGATTCTATTAGCTGATATTGTCTGTTGGATCAGTTAAATGGTTTAGGAAGCAGCAAGGCAGTCTCAGGACAGATGTGAAATGCTATTAACTATGCATTAATTTGGTAGATTTGTGGAAGCTTGATGTCTTCAGCAATATAACTATGTTATACATACTTAGTTTTGTTGGCTTTGTGAGTTTAGCATATTCTTTTATTGCCGGGATGGCTAAATCAGGTGATTTAGTCTATATTTTAAGGCCATTTGCTGTCATTTGGGGAAAAGGCAGTACTGAGGTTTGAACTCAGGGCCTCATGCTAGCCAGAAGGACACTTTCCCATTTGAGTCACATCCCCAACCCTCCATTTGCTGTCTTAAGAACTTTTTTTTATAAATATCTTACTCTGATAAAAACATTTTAACTTTGTAAACTACTAGCAGACTTACATTGTTCTTTTGTCAAGACAACATTTGAAATTACTCATTTTTGCATGCATTCAGTTAATCAAGATTTTTTCCTCTTTTAGATTAATATTGATCTATTTTTAAAAATAGATTTTAAAAAATCACTCCAGCTGTGTTGACATTATTTATGGTATAAAAACTTTTCAGAAAAAGTTGCTTTAATTTTTTTCTTATTAATAAGAAATCATCATTTTTTTCTTCAACCAAAAGTAGTTTGTGTGTTACATAAACTCCCTCTCATGTATCTCCTAAATTTAAAACATGGAGTTTAGTAAATAAGTTTTACATTTTACTTAAGTCCATATTTGGTCAGTATAAATTGAGAATGTTCACATGTAGTTTTCTTTAAGTTTGTAATATGTTCAAATAATGAGTGAGAGTCACTCTATTATTTTCTGACATGTAGAAGTAAATCATTTACTACATTCATATTAATGTGCCTTGGTGGTACATATATATGTATATATACATATGTACATGTGCATATATATGTATACAAACACATATGAATTTCTTGTACCCATTTTTTCCTTGTACAAATCAAGGAGAATATTAAGTATTCTCATTCCTAACATTAAACAGTATGAACACTTGAAAAGCCTAAAAAAATGGAACTTTTCAAAAGTAAGTGGTGTCCATGATTTTCAATTACCTAGCACCACGTATAGTATTGAGCCATAGTCAGTTTCCCTATTAAAATGTTCAGTATAGCAAAACCGGACACTGATTACCAAATTTAGTTAGCATTAATTTTTTGTAGTTTGATATTTGCATATACATAAGTGTGCTTTTTAAGTGATGCCTAACTTCATTTTTGGTTACAACTAGTGGGGGCAATCTTGTTATTGAGTTGTTAGACTGGTTTTCATCAAAGGAAGTTGGATGTTTTACTCGAATTGTTGGTCTGCAAGAAAACAGAATGCTTCTCTTGAGTGCTAAGCCAGGATAATGAGGCAAGGGGTTTATTTCAAAGTTTGTTTTGGTGATGGCATAAATACATAACAGGTTCTGAAATCCAGTTACTATATTAAATTTCATCACTTGTTTTTTAGGTATTCCAATAACTGTACCACCTCCAGGTAAAACATTTTTTTCATGTTTTTTTCCATCATTGTTAATGAACATGAAATTTCCAGCTTAGGAGGGTCAGTGTTGAAGTGGTTAGAATATGAACTTGGCTATTGGGATTTCAAGGTCCTATTTTCAGCTCTGCCTTTGCTTCATTCCAGTTTCAAGACACTTAGTTTTCTTATACTTGTCTTACCCATTTCTGTGGAAATAGAAATTGTGAGAAAATTCTCACATTCCAATTTGTGAAGAAAATATGAATGTAAAAAATCTTTATTAAAAACTTTTGATCAATGAATATTTTATATGATAAAGTGACTACAAGAGAAAAGAAAAAGAATTTATATTCATTTTATCATAACTTTTTTTTTTATCCTGTTGTCACAGTTCAGTTTCATGAGAATATATGTTCTGAACCACACAGTAGTAGATGGATTGAAAACTGGTCAGGTGGTAATTTGTAGAGTGGTAATTAATTGTTCATTGCTTAATCGTATGGCTTATAAGGGTTTGTTTATAGAACAGTGTTGTTTCTATTTTTGTCAGTTGTTCCTTTTTATTGGGTAGTAAAGTGAACCCTGTTAGCAAGTGTGTCTACTTAGCTCAGTATTGAAAGCCAAGGAAAATGTGAAGCAAGTGATAGTGATAATACTGGAAGGGTGGGACTAAATTCAAAATGACCTGGATAAACAGAAATAGGGAAGTTCAGATTGCACAGGACAGTGTACACATTTAGGTGTGGGATAGTCAGTGATTAATTGTGTGTAAATGTGTCTGACAGACTTACCAAGAAAAGTCAAAGGGATTGTGTATTTATAGTTTATTTTAATGTGGTTGTGAGGCTACTGTGTAATGTAGGATTATGGAATCTAGGAGTACTATGGTAATTGTGCTTGTACTGATTTAATATAGGAGATCCAAAAACTGGAAGCAGTGATAGAGCATAGTAAACTTGAAATAGTTTGAAACAGGACTATAACTTATTTGCATGGAGCTTTGAGAAGGGATAAAAGAATAGCATTCATTTTACCTAGAACACTCAAGGGAGGACTTAGTAGAATTTTCAAATACACAGAAGGTAATAGAGTTCTTGATAGTGGAATACTTTTGCCTCAGGACAGGATATGAATTACTGTGTTAGGGATTTAAATTACATCATTTAATGCATTTCCTAATAGTCAGGGTTGTTAAATTTGGAAAAACTAGGTATTGTAAGTTGTGGAATCCTAAAGTCTTCTGTTGGAATGCTATGTTTCCTAATGAATTTGAAAGTGCAGAGTAGCCTACTTATTAAGATCCATTTTTGCAATATTATTCTGTGGTACTAAAAATTGAGAATGCGGACCTTCTGATACAAAGGTACAAATTATTTTCTTCTGTGCTAATGAAAAACTCCACTATTTGCCTTCCTTTGTAAAATAGTTCATTGGGGTTGTGCTATTAAAAACACTTTTACATGTTTGCTGGTTAGGTTCATTTATATATTGTATATTTTAAGGGAATTTCTATACATCTGATACTCAGTATTTTTTAAAAGAGGTAAATGCTATTTTATCTGCTTTTCTTCTATGAACTATTTCAAATAAAATCTATCTGGTGGCAACACTACTACTGTTTTTTATATGGAAAAGGTAAGGCATTGAGACTTAACTTTCTCATACTCACAAAATGGGCTATGTGTGGTGCTGAAAATAAGACCAAGTGTCCTGACTCCCAATCTGTGCTTTGTTAGACCAGACTGTTTGTTAAAATTTTTATTATTCCAAAAACTGTATATGTTAAGTTCCATTTTTTTCTATCCATTAGAATGTAGAGAAGCACGTTTTTATCCCCAGAGAAATTTAGTGAAACACAGCAGCTTTGTTTCACTCTTAAAATCGTATGTGCAGTCTGCTAATAATTTTTGTCTTATGATTGAATGTTTCAGGTTTTCCTCCTCCACCAGGCGCTCCACCACCATCTCTTATACCAACAATAGAAAGGTAAATCAGTATGGGTGGCTGTAAGTTTTGGCCATTGATAGCCTTTTGATAGAAGACTTGCATTCATAAACATAACATCTGCCTATTAATTTGTAAATCTTAACCTGTGTTAGTTACTGTAAGATGTTTAACCTAAAGCCTGATGGCAAAATAGAGCAAAAAACATTTAAAATAATAGAATTTTAGAATAGGAATCTTTTATCTATGCTTTTATTTATGACATGAATTAGATTTTAGATTCTTTTTGCTAAAAACTTGGCTGGTCAGTTGTATGGAAAGTACAGTTTGCTGGAAATCATGAACAATATGTGGCTTTTTGCAGTTAGGTAAAGGCAACTATTATTTTTTACCCTAGTAAAAAAAGAAAAGCTGTTTTCTTCCCTGTTACACTGTTGCATCTCACCTTCTGCATAGAGTTGGCCTTATTTTCTATCCTTGTATTTGTAGTTTATGTTGATTACAATGCTATGTTGAACAATATTCTTCGTTAGATGGCAATATTTTGTTTTCCGGTATAGGGAAATTACAGTGTTGCTAGGGGAAGGTTCACAATCTCTTTGAGACTTTAGGGTGCTATTCCTATTTTCCTTTAAGTGTCAAATCCCCTCTATAAGGTATTTGCTTTCAAAAAACATATTCAGCTTATATAAAAAAGAAAGAAAAATTCTGAGTTTTACATCAGTAGTACCAAACAATGCATATTTTCATAGATAATACTTAGGAAAATGTCAATTGTGAGAACATAAGAATTTGCTTCTAGGGGCTGGGAAGGTGGCTCAGTGGTAGAGCACTTGCCTTGCATGCTCAAGGCCCTGGGTTCGATTCCTCAGCACCACATAAGAAAAAAGCCGGAA